TTTTAAAATTCTTATTAGGGCCAGTAACTTAACTCAGTAATTAGAACGTTTGAAATTCTCAATCGATATAACCAATAACTTAATTAGAACTTCGTTCTTCATTTTAATTGTGAGGCCAGTAACTTAAAATTTTACATTTAAAATTCTCAATTGTGGGCTAGTAACTTAAGTAAATAGTTTATTGCTTTTAAAATTCTCAATTTCTGGATAAATAATTTTAGTTTATTGCTAATTAAATAAAAATCTATAATTTTTATTTATTAATTTTTTAAAGAATTTTAATAAATTAATATTTTGCATGCAATTTACAAATAAAATTTAATTTCAAATGTTATTGCTTATGAATATGAAAATGAAAAGATACTGAAGAATTAATAAACGTGGCACCACTAAGAAGTTGTTTAAATTCTTCAATTGATTCATTCTGAGACAAGTTCATTTGTGTTAGCTTATTATGTGACTGACTCTTTTGGTTCGATGTGTGAAAAGATGTAGACGATTCTAAATAAATAAATTAAATTAATACTGTAGTATGATTTTCTTAAAGCAAAGGTTATAGTATTATTAAAATTTTTAACCTTGATACAATGACGATACTGATATGAAGCCTAATAATTCATTTTTATGTGTACTTGCGGCTACAAATGATTCTATCATATAAAAAAAATAAAAATAAAAAAAATAAATTAAAATCTTAAAAAAAAAAAAAACAAAAAAAAAAACAAAAAACTACAACCATTTACTTTTTCATAATTAATCACTTTATCTAAAGCTTTATATTCAAGTTCTTGTACATGATTAATCAGACGTTCATAAGATGCTAATCCTTTTAATGATTTATGGCATGAAATTGACATTGTTTCATAATCAGATAATCCAAGTGCTTTTAGAATTTGAATTAAGGTTTTGCGCCCAGTTTGATTAGTAATCTTCCGACCAGAAATATCAATATCACATGATATTACTAGTCGTTTAAAGAATGCCTTCATTGAATTTTCCCCCAAATGCATTTTTTCATACCAGACCTCAACAGTTTTAAAATCCTCTGTAAGATACAAAAAAAAAAAATTACCATTTTTATTAATAATTATTATTATTAAATACGATTGTTATTTACCATGATTTTTTTTTATAGGGTGAAGATAGAATTGAGGATCAGCATTAGTTGGGTGTTTGGTTATATATGTATTATACGATTCAACAATGTCAAAGATTGGTGGAATAGAAAATGTCTCTGCTACACCAGGACTTTCAAGACTTCTTTGGTTTGTTTTTGATCGGTAAAGTTTAACTTCATAACCACCAGAATCTTTTTTTTTAAAAGAAAAAAGTTCTAATAAAAAATGCTCTCCACCACGTAGACCAAGACAAAGTGCATTAAAAAAGAAAACTCTATTTAGTAATCCTTGGGGATTAAGTCTTGATGTTTGAGAATACGATAAAATTTGTTGAACTTCATCAATTGTTAAAGCATCAGAACCATTTGATTCCCCAAACCCACTTGAAGACAACGTTTTAATTTTTCCATTTAATGTACACCAAAGATCAGGGTGTGCCTTTTTGTCATTTAGGTCAATTGGTTTTAATTTACTTGTCTCATCATTAAAATACCGATTTAATGCATTAATTGCAGATTGAAGTGATGCGACAGAATATTCGTCACCATTAGTCTTACAGCATACAGTAAAGTATTTACAAAGCTCTTCTTCAAGTTGCTTTGGGTTTGAAATATCAGATAATTCACCAAGAAGGTTTGTATCTTTATGATAGTTCTCAAACTGTTTT